CCTGGGCCCCAAGTCTCAGCAGCTGTGTGGCCGCAGCGAGCTATTTGCCTTCTGAGCTAAGATCCCTCTCCTGTGTGCTGGGGCCAGTAGCCCCCCTTGGGCCTCGTGTTGAAGATCTACCCCCAATGCGCGTGGAGGAGCCAGGTGTCACTTTGCACTCTCTAGTCTCGAGTAAGACCGCGCATCTGGAGAGCACACAGGTTCTCCTGGCCGTTGATTCTCAATGCCTGATTCCAGGAAGGATTTGTTGGTGAAAGAAGGGCTGGTTTGTGTTGACAGCAGGGGGCAGAGGAGATGCAGCAGTCTGGCGCCCAACTGAACAAGCACCTGCCTAGCCCGTTAGTCGGGGTGACATCCGCTCAACCGGTCGGGGCTGTTTGCAGAAAGCCAAGGGCGCCGTGGAGGCCTGGGGTCTGCAGTGTCAGGGCCTGGACTGGTGCCTCTCTGCCTTCTGGCCTGGTGTGTGGGTCGCTGGCTCAGCCGGCAGCTGGGGCAGGCGCCGTGCGCCCACGGGCTGTTGGCCATGCCTGGCGGCCTCCCGGTGTCTGTGGTTTGTGGACGGGCCGGGCTGGCCGCCTCACGGCCTCCCTGTGCTGAGAGAAGACTCCCGTGAACACAGCAGCTGGGGGTCCTTCCGGGGGAGAAGGGGCTGTGGCTTTCACAGCCGATCCCCACGCCAGCGCGCCTAGCAGCGGGCCTTCATGTTCCTGGCCTCAACCTGGAGGCAGGGCGCGATGGAGGCTCCCGCTCTTTCACATGGGGGCCCACCTTCTGCCTGTTTCTCAGCTGTCCCACCGGGAGCTTTGAGAGGGTCTGTGAGGAGCCCAGCCCGTGTCCCGAACCGCCCTCTGCAGGCCGAAGTGCCCGCTCCTCCCACACGTGGCTGACGGAAGGCCGGGGCAGTGTGTGGGTCAGGTCCCTCGGTGGCCCTGGGGGGCCCTGCCCATTGCTGAGTACTGGCCACTATTAGAGCTTCTCAGCTGGACTTAAGTTCGGAAGTGAAGTGTGGTTTTAGGTTTCATGGCACAGAGACGAGGGCTTGGAAGTGCCCGCTGTTAGCGGTTACTGCTAAATGTGTGTGTTAACGTGTCCTGGGGCCAGGGGCCAGATTGCAGAGGAACGCCCATCGCCCAGCCCTGAGTGGGTGCGCCTGCCTGGACCAGGAAGCACCTGCTTTGGCCCAGGACCCCCCCCCACCCCCCCCCCCCCCCCCC